CTCCAGCTAGGAAGAAAATTAAATAATTGTTTTTGATTTATTCTATACCAATATTCAGTTTATTTTCAACGATATAACTTTCAGCACATAAAAAAAAAATTACAAATATAGTGTTTTTAAATTTCGTTCACTACAAAAAACACTATATTTCAGCTTCGTTACTCTCTATTGCTGAAGTTATCTATATAGTTTGAGATATTTCGATGTTTTATGTTTTTTTTAATTCATCGTAAACATCAAACGACTTTATCCACTGTACTTTAATTATTCCTACGAGATTATGTATTTTATTTATTTTTTTTTTTTTATTTCAATCAACTAATATTTGTTCTATTTACATAATGCTGTTGGAAATTACCGTAACTACTCCTATACAACGCGCCCGCTATAGGTCTACGTAAATTTATAATAATATAGGCCTATTCTTCCTTAACTTTATAATTAATATTACACTATCGACCTTTAAACAGCTAAGGGTCATTTAAGTGCGTTTTGTGTTGTTCAGATTCAAGTTATCAATAATTATAAGATAAAATAATGATATGTTCCCCCCCCCTCCCCCCAAGTGGCCTCTTCCAGGTGATAGCTATACGATGGTGGTACTGCGATGTGTACTGTACCCCGGGTGTCTATAACCTGGTACAAACTGTGAGGTATTGCGTTGTTCTTGGGTTTAGACTGTGGGACAAAAACAATGTGTATATTTGTAAGTTATTTTTGTACCATACTGGATTTTACTTCTACTAATATTACTGTTTTTACTACTATTTTGCTATTATTATTACTACTACAACTACTAGTTCAATCACTTCGTTTAATGATAATAATAATAACAACAACAAAATATAACTGATTATCCAAACCTTGACATTATTTTGGTTTTCTGTTTAAATCGTTCTAATTCGGCTTTTGAGACGAGAACTCCAGAACGCTCAGAAATTAACTAAACTTTAAAAAAAAAATAATTAGCCTTTTTCACCTCGATAAAAAATTATATTGACTCTACCTTCACCAAATTCTTAAAAAAAAAATCCCTTATGCAGCCCGAGGCGTTTTATTTATTTATTATTATTATTATTATTATTATTATTATTATTATTATTATTATTATTATTATTATTATTATTATTATTATTATTATTATTATTATATATGTTTTTTTCGGATATTTAAATTTGTCCAGAATAATGCCATTTCTTTTGATGCTTTCATTCGTAAATAATTGGGTTTTGTTTATCTTGTAGTCAGCCAAAATGATTAATGTTCTGCCAGTGAGAAAACATCCTCTCTCTCTCTCTCTCTCTCTCTCTCTCTCTCTCTCTCTCTCTCTCTCTCTCTCTCTCTCTCTCTCTCTCTCTCTCTCCTCTGAAATATATCTGGCAACATTTGCTTTTATTTATTTTTTCTTCAATTTATTCCAAGACCAATTTATACATTACATTGGTATAGGTGCTTCGACTACCAGGGTCATTAAGCACCGTTCACAAGGTGTCTTGGGATTTAGTTTAAACTTTAGAGTATTTCAACTACCGGGGTTATTTAAGCTAATCACAACATACAACTTCTATTGATTTTATACCCGGGACTAAATAACTCAAGGAAGTGGTTGTTGTGTTGTGTTGTGTTGTGTTGTGTTGTGTTGTGTTGTGTTGTGTTGTGTTGTGTTGTTGAGAGTGTAAGGCCAACACATAGTTATCAATCAATGAAGATTAGTTAGATTTCGAGGTTTAGAAAAAATATTCATGTATTATTATTATTATTATTATTATTATTATTATTATTATTATTATTATTATTATTAACCCTAGTATACATCTTGTCACCCCCCACACACACACACATAGACACACACAGACACACACACACACACACACACACACACACACACACCCCTCCGGTAACTTGTTGTTAACGTGCAATCGATAACCCAGTCCGCTTAGCAATCACGGCTTGCAACAAAAGAAAGAAAGAAAGAAAGGAAGGAAGGAAAGAAGGAAGGAGGCGGTACAGTTAGGAAGATTGAATTTGTCTCTTTTGATAGAAGTTGAATGAAGTACAGAACTACAAATTGTTTATTTTTTTCTTAGCAGTTTGTTTTATGAATAATACTCGCTAAACTTGTATCTACAGCCGTTCTTTTTTGTAGTAGACACGATTATAATGTAGATTTTTGTTAGTAATATTAGTGTAAACAAGATGAAAACAGCGAAGACACCCAGGATTTTGTTTATTTATTTAGAAGGTTAGTTTTTTTGGGTATAATTAGGATGAAATTAGCCGCTAAACACACATACGAATGAATTGTTTGGTTTTTTGAGCGGTCTTGTTTACGATTTTTTGTTTATAAGCTGATGTAAACAACGGCACAGTTGATTCTTGCAGGTCTTGACGGGAGGTAAACAAAATATATTAGTTGGTTGGTTGTTTGCTTTTGTTATTGTTTTCATCACAGCTGTTAACATATAGATCCATACACATCATATTCTTGTTGTTGATTCGATGCTAAAATACAACATAGATTGTCTTTGTTGAGTTTTGTCTTTGCTTATTGCTAACGTAGATTAACACGTGGTTTTAGATCGAAAGACAAAAACACACTCCATGTAATTTCTTGTTATTTAGATAAAACATAGATTTATTATTTATTAATTTGCTGTTTTTTTCCTTCGCTTTTTATTTTTATTATCTTGATGTTAGAAGACACAAGCAAGCAATAAAAAAAAACACACACATTTGTTTTAACACACACACACACACACACACACACACACACACACACACACACACACACACACACACACACAGAGTTACAGTTCATTTAGATCCTGGGGGTATACACATATATTACGAAGGGGGTGATGAGGAGGAGGGGTAGTGATAGTATTTTGAGTTTACGTTTTGTCTATATAGTGCACCAGAGAGAGAGAGAGAGAGAGAGAGAGAGAGAGAGAGAGAGAGAGAGAAACACATTCCTTTTTCGAATCCAATTCCTACCTATTTTCTCTCTTGCATTCTCATGACGAACGGATGCAATATTTGGCGGCAACAATATACCTGCAATCTATATTCCTTATTTTTTCTCTCTCTCCTCACTTGCTATTGACGATAAAAAAAAAACAAAAAAAAACAAGTGACTGTCGCTATACGATAGATCATGGTATTTATTGCGATATCTGTGTATTGTAAACCTGAGGCAATATCTTCACCTCTATACATATACTTGCGGCAATACGCGTTTTGTTGTTTGGCCGCATGCGGTATATATATATTTATATGTACATCCTTACTGTTTTTTTTTACTATAATTTAATAAATGTCTGATTTTTTTTTTAGTTAGACATATACTAAATTATTGACGTTCTTCAGGTAGACATGTTATTAATAGGTAAATTTCTAGACATAACTTACGCATCTTGAAATAATTTTGGTAAGACATGTTTAATGGTCTGTCTGATGAATGTAAACCAGGTGTATGTCTTCTTGTTACATACATACATACATCTACATACATACATACATACATACATACATATACATACATACATACATACATACATACACGGATCACAATACATACACATCACTGTTTAAACTCGTGTAGAGATGTCCGTCGTAACGTCTTGGTGTATAGTATACCTTAACTGATGACGGACTGTATACATTTGAGTCGTTGAGGTGTATAGAGTGCAGGTGTAGAGTGCAGGTGTAGAGGTGCTGTTACCTTAGCCCAATGAAATGCATAGCGTATAGATGTAGGTGAAAATATAGTATTGCTATGCAGTTGTATTATTTTGCCTCGACGGGAGTACAGGATTTCTATGCAGTTGCTATACCTTCCCTTTTAATGATGGATGCTATGCACTTGATAACTCTTGTGACGATAGAAAATGTATTGTCGCTATAATAGTTAAGGTAATTTCATCTTGATATCATAGACAACGCCATATTCTTGCCATTTCATACCAGATCAAAACAACACCGCTATGCATCTGCTATATTTTCTCTATTGATGATGGAAACGATAATGCTATGCACTTTATATATATCTTGTAACGATAGAAATATGTAACATCGCTATGCAGTTGCTATACATTCATCGCGATGGCAACCACTGCAACCATAGAAATATACATACCGTGTGTTTGTCATCTCTCACCCCGGATTTGCAACAGTAGCGCATTGCAGAGGACGTTGTTCATGCAAGTTGCAATTTACAGCAGCCTGGGGGGAAGTGGCCGGGGTGTCACAAGACAATACCTCTAAGTGTTGTACTGTACTTGAGGACCCCTGGTGTTGATGGTGTAGGTGGTAGTGGTGTTGATGGTGTAGGTGGTAGTGGTGGTGGTGGTATAGAGACAAGCCAGTAGTGGTAATGGTCAGTAAGTATTTTATGATGGTAGGTGGTGGCAGATGCTGGTGGTTGCAAGTGGTAGCGTAATGTTTGTTGTAGAATAGGTGGTGGTTGTTGGTGTTGGTAGGCATATTGTTGGTAGGTGGTTGTAGGGTGGTAGTGTGGTTGTTGTTGCTGCTGGTGGTGGTGGTGTGGTTGTTGTTGGTGGTTGTTGTTGTTAAAGTGTGGTGGTATTGTAGGTGGTGGTTGCAGGGGCTGCAGATGGTTGTTGGGTGGTAGGTTGTAGGTGGTAGTGGTGGTTGCATGTGGTGGTGGGGGTTGTATGTGGTGGTTGTATTACATGTGGTGGTGGTGGTGGTTATAGGCAGGTTGTGGTGGTGGTAGGTTGTAGGCAGGCTGGTGGTGGCTGTAGGCAGTGATTGGTGGTTGTACGTGGTGGTAGTTGTACGTGGTTATGGTTGTTGCATGTGTGGTGGTTGTGGGCTGTATGTGTGGTTGTATTGCATGTAGGTGGTGTAGTTGTAGGTAGAAGGGTGGTGGTGGCTGTATGTGGTTGTTGTTGTATGTAGGTTGTGGCTGTATGTGGTGTGTGGCTGTATGTGGTGGTTGTACGCATGGTGGTGGTAGACGACACTGTGGGTTCGCCGTGATGAGAGTTACGTCTCGTCAGGATGGAGAACTGGTGAGTCATGAGGATGTGGTGATGAACGTGGAGGCTGGCTGGGACATGTGCTGCCAGTTCAGAAGCTGGCTGAGGTGGGAGGATGACCAGTCTGGAATGCTGGCCGAGGTGGATGACCACCAGTCTGGACGCTGGCTGAGGTGGAGGGATGGCTGGAGTGAGTGAGACTTGGGCGTCGAGCCTCGACTAGAGGGTTGGTTGGCGGTGAAATACACGCCGCCATTGGCTCCGGAAGGCAGCTTTAGCGGGTAAAAGCCATGAGTGATGCCCACCCGCCGCCAGCCAGCAGTTCTTTCACAGCGCCACTATCATAGATTGACTATCCAAGGGCGCGCTGTCCCATCCTTCGTCCGCCTGTCAGCGGCTGCAGCACCTCCTCTTCTGTTCTCTAAAAATCGTCAGCTCTTTCCCCCCCCCGCGGACACCTCGTTCACCTGGCACCTCACCGCTGCTGCAGGCGTGGAATAACAGCACGCTGCTGCAGGCGGGGAATAACAGCACCAACACCACAAAGCAGAAATAGATGGTGGTGGCGGACGCTGCTGCACAGGGTTGAGGGGCAGTTAATACAGCGTGGTGGTGGACAGCGGGTGGCCACCCGAGAGCGCCAGGTTGCATTGTCACCGCTGTGATGCTGCTGCCGCACCTGGAGTGAACATCATTTTTACCGCCAATTTGTCAGCGAGTGTGTGTGTGCTGCTGTCACGTCCGTTCATTAAGTAATGAGCGCGCTGATCAGATAAAATAATTTTGTTTATCATCGTGGCTTCAGAGCTGTCCTCCCTCACTCATAATTACGCCGCCGCCACCACACAAACAGCAAAAAATATTATATATAATCCATTTTTGCCTGTAACATCAGCGTATTAAGTTTAGTTATGGTGTGCGGGTGATTTTATTTTTCGCTTTATTTCAGCACGTAGACGAAGCTAATTGATAAACAGGTACGTTGTCCAGGTGAAAAGGTGTTTTGATAGAGAGGGGAGTTGATTGGGAGGGCAGGAGGATAGCGGGTGTCTATTTTTTGCGAGGCCGTAAGCTATGGAAACACGACGACGGCGGAATGCTGGCGCAACACCTGTAAAGGTAATGACACCAGGTATGTTATAGTTAAGGGAATGATAGCCGGGGCTCCATACTGCCATCACTGCGTTGGGGACATCATTACCACAGACCTGCGCGCAGGGGTCGTGCCACACTCAGCCAATAGCGCGCCTCGCCCCGCCCACTCGCCCAGGCCCCGCCCGCCGCTGCCCCACAACCACTGCCTCGCTCCAACTCAACAAAACCCAAAAATCTCGCCCAGGCATTTTTGGTAAATATAAAACCTCGCCTCCTTGATTTTTATTAACATATATTAAGATATCGGTAAGTATTTCGGTATAATTTGCCGCCACAGCCCTGGGAGGTGGGGAGAAGGGCAAGATGTCTGATTGGTGTTTGCCATTCTCGGATGCCTGCGCCTCAGCCAACACTTCAGCACTGCGCCTCGCGTATCCAAAAGATTTCGGCACAAATTCAATATTGAACTTATTACATTTATCATACCAACGCATCATAGCCTTGCAGTGTCAGGCGCTTGATAGATCGGGGGCAGCGGTGGTGTAAGGGGGACACGTTTCCACATCATAACCACCATCACCACACCACTCCACTCAACACCATCCCCATCATCAAAGCGCTATCCTGCCACCATCACATCATCAATCTCCATCCTCAAACGCCAACATCCTCACCAACACCAACAACCCCTCAACACCTTCACCCATCCCCTTCTCCACCACGGTAGATATTTCGCAAGAACCTGGCTTCGTTTTTTTTTTCATCTTTTGGGTCAATAAGCTGAGCATTTCTACCTGGAGGTGGGCAGATGGGAGGAGTACTGGCTGTGGTCGCTACATGAGATTACCCACACACACACACACACACACACACACACCCACACACACACACACACACACACACACACACACACACACACACACACACAGGAGAGGGTTCCAAGGCCAAATGGTGGGCGAGATTTATCATGTAATTTTTTAATAACACAATCTTTATTTACATTACTGAGACACGAGGTGGAGGAGGCAAGCTCTCAGCACTCTAACATAGCAGTGGTTTATGAACGTCTGTCTGGCGTTGTTTCCTGCACTGTAGGAGTGCCTTGGAAGCAGGAGGGTGGCGAACGCCTGCCCATGTTGTTTCCTGTACTGTAGGAGTGTCTTTGGAAGCAGGAGGTGCAAGTAAACGTTCTGTCTGGCGTTGTTTCCTGTACTGTAGGAGTGTTCAAAGGTGAGGTAGCGAACGTTCGTCTGGCGTTGTTTGTACTGTAGGAGTGTTTTGGAAGCAGGAAAGGCGAATGTTCGTCTGGCGTTGTTTCCTGTACTGTAGGAGTGCCTGAAGCAGGATAGGCAAGCGAACGTTCGTCTGGCGTTGCTTCCCGTATCATGGCAGGAGCGTTTTGAAGCAGGAGGTAAAGCTTAACGTTCGTCTGGCGTTTGCTGCTGAAGTAAAGAAAAGGCACCAGTTCGCCTGGCGCGTTTCGTGATTGTAGAGCGCCTTGAAGTGGATGTGCGTTTAAACGTTCGCCCTTGGCATTTGCTGTTGAAGCAGGAGGTGGCAAATTCCAGACCGCCACCAAGGTTGTTTCCCAAGAGAGAATTCCAGATCTACTATTCCTATTATTAAAGAACTTTATGGTGCAGAAGAGCGACAGAAGAGAACGTTCGTCGGTCTGGCGAAGATGAAATAAAGCGTGACAGTACGGAGGTGTAAGGAACGTGCTGGCGTCATTGATTGCCTCTCGTGCCGGCCATAGTTTTTATTTGGGGTGATGCATTTTATAAGTCGCGCCATACGAGAGCTCCAGATGTTAGGCGGGCGACTGTTCGTCAGGCGTATAACTTCCGATTGTTGCCGTTCGGTCAGCGTCAGAGCGGAAGACCTCCACATACCATCTCGGCCACCCCACACCACCACCCTGACGTGAGGCCCAACAGCAGGTAACGCAATCATTGGGTACTTGTAGCGACGAGTTTACTGATAAATAAACGAAAAAAAGCGTGATAATAACAATAACCAGTAACATCAATAACACATCAAAAACAATCAATAACTCAATAAATACCACAAAATTCAGTAACACATCAATACATTAGTAAACACATCAATAAACACTCAAAGAAGATCACGCACCGCAACAATAACATCAGTAACACATCAATAACATCAGTAACAATATCAATAACACACTTATGGCATCAATAACACGTCAATAACAACAGTATCATGATCAGAACAACAAATAAATGGTAACAGTAAGTTTATTTTATCGTAGTATTTCTTAAACCATACTTTTTCCAGTGTTGTATCCGTTGGTTGTATCCGGTTGGTTGGTATCCACAGTTGTATCCGTTGGTTGTATCCGTTGTATACGGCATCCCTTTGGTTGTATCCGCCGGGTTGCATCCTTGCTGTTGTATCCGCTGGTTGTATCCGCGGGTTGTATCTGCTTGGCCATCCGTTGTTGCAATCCGCTACGCATCCTTGGTTGTATCCAAGGCTGTAACCGCCGGTTACCGCCATTGCAATCCGTTGGTTGTATCCGCCGGTTGCATCCAAGGCTTTTATCCTTTTGTTGTATCCGGTTGTATCCAGTTATTGTATCCGTTGGTTGTATCCAGTTGGTTGGGCCTCTTTTCGAGTCCTATATTTATAACACGGCAAAAACCCATCGGACGAAAATCCTTAACGGACAAAATCCATATTGACAAAACTCAACGACAAAACTACGACAAAAACCTACTATCAAACACTCTTAACAAAATCCTCAACCACAAAACCTCGAAGAAAACGACTATAAAAATCCTCAAACTGTCGCCTTCAGTTTTGGGTGCTGAGGAGGAGAGATTCATCTCTTATAGGGTTAAGGAGGACATGGCCCCTTTCCCCTCCCCCTCTACCTCTTCCCTCCTTTCTTCCTTCTTCCTTCCCTCCCCTGCTGTTGAAGCTGTATGTCCCTCATACTGCCTCTCTCTTCCTTCAAACTCATATTTTCTCCTACACACCTTCTCCTTTCTCCATCTCTCCCACTCCTTCTTCTTCTTCTCTCACCCTCCCTTCCTCCCTTCCTAACTCTTTATTTCTATCTTTTTCCTCATTCCATCACCTCTTTCTCCACTCTCTTGTTTCTCTCCTGTTATTTCTCTCCTCCTGTCTACCATTCTCCTTCCTTGGTCCTCCTCCCTCCCCCTCCCTCTCCCTCTAATTCCCCACCAATGACGCCACGGGCCCTCCCTCCCAAAGCTACCACCCTCTCACTCACGGCCCCTCCTCCCCTCCTCCTCTCCCATTCCTCCTCCTCCTCTTCTTCTCCGGCTTCCTTTCTAAACACTGCCCCTCTCCTCTCCTCCTCTCACCCTTTGGTTTCTTACTCCCTCACAAACTGGAGGCTCACCAATCTCCTCAACAGTCTCTTCCTCGTCTTCCACTTACGCCCCATTCTCCTCTCCTTCCTCACTCTCCCTCCCTTATCTTTTCCTCCTTCTCACCATCCTCTTCTCTCTCACCCTCTTCCTGCCTCTCTTCCTCTTCTCTACAGGTAGACACTGGTCAGGTGTCTACTGGAGGCTTAAATGTCCACACAAATAGTTTATCAGACCATTGAGTCTCAAGTCTCTCTCTCTCTCTCTCTCTCTCTCTCTCTCTCTCTCTCTCCTTATTCTTCTTATTTATTATTTACTCTGAAATTTTCCATTTTATTCTTTTTGGTATTGTTTTTTTCCCATTGCACAATGATGACAGGTCACGCCGGAGGGGGGGAGGGGAGGAGGGAGGAGGAGGGAGGGGAGGGGGAGAGAGGAGAGAGGGAGGAGGTAGGGGATAGGGAGGGAAGGAGGGAGAGAGGGAGGGAGGGAGGAGGGTAAATAGTGGAGAGGGAGGAGGAGGGAAGAAAGGTGGGTGGAAAATAAAGATAAGAATGAAAAAGAGAGAGAGAGAGAAAGACAGATTTTCACAAAAGCAAATCCATTCGGAACTCAGAAGAGGATTCTGAAACCTACACACACACACACACACACACACACACACACACACACACACACACACACACACACACGCACACACACACACGGAAGTACAA